TATTTTTTTTGTCTGACCATACAGTGCTAAAAGAAGAATCGTGTGAATTCTTAAGAGATTTTGTGATGATTTCTAAGACATTCTATCACATTTTTTTGATTGCCATATATGATTGTGTCATGATATGTAAACATTAGGTCACTGTGGTTCTCAAACTAAAACTCGCGCATGCATAAAAATGTAAATTCGACGAAGTAAAGAAACACGAAATTGAACCGATGATACATTAAAAATTTAAAAGTGATGGGGTGAGCCCGGTTTAGAAGCTTGCGCTAGTGAGTTGCAAACCCTAACATGGCACGAGAAGGTATTTCGGCTCTTATCGGTGTAGGCGATATAAGGTTGGTGGTGCGGGTGTCACAACATAGACCATTCCCTTGGGACAGACCGTGATGTCATGACTCGGGTACATAACCCTGGTGAGTGGGAATCGTTGGTAGTTACAGCAAGTAACATTTGAATATTTGACCAAGGGGGAGTCAGAATTGCCCATGGCCATTGCTTAGCGGTTGAGTGAAAATAGTGCTCTGCGAGGAGTTATTTAAATTTATCTGATAAACTAAATTCATGAGAATTTAAAAAGAAAAGTGTGCATTCTCCTTATGATGAATTACTATTTTCGTTTGCCATTTTTTTTATTTATCAATTTATTTATCTATTATTGACATTCCTATTATGCTTATTAAATGCTACATGTTATTTTGTTACTACGCATTATTCATTAATTGTGGGTATTATTATCGGGGTGGGTATTTCCGGGTTGTAGTATATTATTGAGCTCGTCGCTCATTGGCATTCTCATTGCCCTGGCATTTTATGCCAGGTACCGAAGAAAATAAGGAAACACCGAGGCCTTGTAAGGCGACATTCAATCTTGGTTAGCTTGAAGAGTCCCCAAGTTCCACAAACTATTTTCTAAGTTTTCCTAGTTTTTCTCTAATTTTCTTTTATATTTGTGTAATCTTTTTTTTTACGTACCGAGACTAAGTTTTAAGTTTTATTAGAATTGTAATTTAAAAACTTTAAATTTCTGGGTTGTTAATTAATGGATGTTAATGATGTTTGGTGGCAACATTGATTTTAAGTTCTAAATCTTATTGTGATATCCTTAAAATTTGGGGCGTCACATCAACCACAAAGCAAATCAGTAACTTGAACAAACAACCATTTAAGAACATAGTAAAAATATCTTTTATTGCAATGTCTCCTTACAAATCTAGTCTAAACTACTATACTATTATTGTTATGGACTATTTATTGCAGAAGAACTGCATTATTTTCATATTTCTATTACAAAATCAATAATGTCTTTCACGGCAATGTCTCCTTGCAAGTCTTTCTATTATGACCGTACTTCTCGCATCTACCACACTATACTCGTCTTATCTTCTCACCCCTAGATGGAATCCTATTCTTCCCTGGCCTACAAGGTGGCTTCTTACAAATTGAAGGAAGGACAATAAGATCATCCGTAGTTACAAGAGGTTCTCAACAATGGGTATTGGATAAACAGACTCAGCATAGCAAGCTTTGAACTTGCTAGTGTAATAAAATGGTTCCACATGTGCATACAAATCACCTCCGCTCTTTTGGATAGCGGTCGCCGTGTGAGCACAAAGAAATCCATTCAATTGCCATTGGTAACATAGGCAAGTTCTATTCAAGAGGTCAACGCTAACCAATAGCCAGGATTGAACCTCAAAAACATGATCACTTGAACGACTAACTAACCAAGTTCTTTTACTTTTAAGAGCATTTACTAATGTTGAATCCATCTCCGGACAAAGAAAAGTATTCCATTTCTTAGCTTGTTCTCTCCTTCTCGACATCAAATCCATGATTTTTCAACCTAATTGAATCAATCATCTTCGTAGTGGGCAAATGGTGAGCTTGAAGGATCCATGAATTGAAAGACTCTGCCACATTCGAGTGCATTTCACCATATTTTTGTCCTATAAAATATGCATTAGTCCACTTGTCATAGGGAAAATTGGATAGAAACTTACAAACGATCCTTTTTCCCTTATCTTGTAATTCTTTCAAGCATTGATTAAAACATCCCACTGTCGAAGCATAAGCACATGAAGAAAACAAAAAAACTATTCTACTCCTGAAAGTATTGCTGAAACTTGGACCAGAGAACCTATCCCTCAAATTGGCTTTCAAGTGTTGGAGAAAAAAATAGTGGTAAACAGTAGGTAAAACCTTGGGTAAAGCCTCAAAGAGTCCTGCGTTCCGATTAGATATAAAGGTAATTGGTCTTCATCTAACAATATATTCGACAAATGCATAAAAAACCATTCCCAACTATCTATAGTCTCCGTATCGACAATTGCCATTGCAAGAGGGAAAAAACCTGAAAAATAACATTTTACAATAAGTAAGTATATTAAACGAAAATGACAAATATAATAGATTTTTACTCTGAGTAATAGTAACATGTTACTCTGAAAATAAGTAACATGTTACTCTGAGAATAAGTAACTTGTTACTTTTGAATAAACTATAGTAATATCTACCTTGATCCCCATCCTTCTCTGTAGCTGTTAACAAGGTGCCCTTATATTTCCCCTTCAAAAAAGTTCCATCGATAAACAATAAAGGACGGCAATGCCTAAACCCTTGAATGGAAGCATTAAACGCAACAAAAAAGCTCTTGAACCGTTCACTTTGATGGTTATAGTCAAGACGCAAATAGCTAACAGGATTTGTGCTCATCACAATATCCATATTCCATCGAATCTCATCATAAGACATAGAGAAATCTCCAAAAGTAGTAGTCCTAGCTTTCTCAACTCCCAACCAAGCGTGATTGTACGTAATGGTGAGCCCGTATTGATTTGTAAATTGACGCACAACATCAATTGGACAAGTTTGGGGATTCCCACGAACTTCATTAACTATCAAACTTGCAACCAAATTTGAACTCATCCTTGAGTTTTTAGAAATACGAACTGCAACTCCACAAGTATGCTTATCATTTAGAGTCCTAATGTAGAAAAAATTATTAGCGCTTTCTAGAGATGCATGTACTCGCCATAAACAAGCTTTGGACTCCCGCATTGAACACACAGCAGTGACCCAACACTTCTCATTCTTCACATACACAAACTCAAATCCTATATCAATGATATATTTACATAATGCAGTCCAGAAATTCTTTGCACCTCCAATAAATCTTTAACCTACATGAGTAATTCCATTCATCCATCCACAAGACAACAAAGTCCTTTCTTCATGTTGACAAAACATAGGGAGTAAATCCATTTCATCATCAGTAATGATGGATTCACTGGCGTCCCTTGATTCTCTAACTCCATGATTTTCATTTGAAATGCCTATTTCAGTAATAGTCACATAAACCTGGTCAACACTAAGGGGACAAACAAGTGACAACATATTCTGAAAATCAAAATCATCATCAATCATGCATTGCGAATGTCCAGGCAAACAGTATGATAACAATATGCAACCGCAACTGTCAAACTTCTTCAATTTACAACTTAAGAAATCAGTTAAATCCTTCAACGTGCAGTTTGACACAACCTTGAACACAATGGTACGATCACCATACTTGCATAACAACATAAGAGGTGGAACTATTTTACAAATCTGCAATCAATTAACAGTAAAAATTTACTGTCAATCAAAGTAAAATTTTACTTTCACTATCAAAGTAAAATTTTACTGCCACTATAAGTCCAAAAGTCAATTTGTGTTTAGTTTGAATTGATAAAATTTTACTGTGGTATAGTGTAACATTGTACTATATTTTAGAGTTAATTTTTACTATTTGGTTTGCCAAAGATTGACAACTCATACAGGGTGTCACCAACACAACTTGAGACATGAATCTAAAAGTAAAATTTTACTCTGAAATAAAAGTAAAATGTTACAGAAAGAATCTAAAAGTAAAATTTTACTCTGTATAAAAGTAAAATTTTACTCTGAAATAAGAATAAAATGTTACACTCTGAATATAAGAGTAAAATGTTACCACCCTGAATTTAAAAGTACAATTTTACTTTGTATAAAAGTAAAATTTTACTCTGAATAAGAGTAAAATGTTAAATTCTGAATCTAAAAGTAAAATTTTACTCTGAAAAACGAGTAAAATGTTAGACTCTGAATCTAAAAGTATCAAAGTAAAATTTAAAAGTCATTCTAACACCAGAGTAAAATTTTATTCTCATTGTAAACAGAGCACGTATCAGAGTAAAATTTTACTCTAATTCTCTCAAACAAAAAACAGAGCAATAGAATCATTCTCTGAAACAAAAAACAGAGTAATAGAATCATAGTAAAATTTTACTCTGATTCTGTCAAACGAAATCAGATCAAACACAACAAAAATAAATAAATAAACAAATAATCAACAAATCAACATACCTAATTGAGAAGAAAAACCTCTAAAACTCGATCAACAGTCACAAATCTCAATGAAACTCTCGTTTAATTGAGAGTATTGATCGTTGGCAACGAGATCGTCTATTGTTGACCAAGTGAGAGATCTTCGACCGCGAGATCTTCAAATTTGGAGATCGTCTTCATCGATTTCGTTTCTGATTTTGTTTCTGCGAGATTTTCAGCTCAGATTTCAAATATTTCAAATGTATGGTATGTATATATAGAAGGGTAATATTGTGATAAAAAAAATAGAAATTATAAAATATTTTTATTAAGGTAGGCATTTCCTATTCAAGGACTTTTTAAAAAAAAATTAATTGAATTATCTTTTATCCTAATAAAAAGGTCCAAAAAGAAAGTTTCACCAAAAATTCCTAAATTTATTTCGTTAATTATCTAAATTATTTACAAAAAATAAATTAATAAATATAATAATTACAATCATTTACTCTCTTTTTTTTTAAGACAACTTTAATAAAGTAATGAATACCAGACCATAGCTATCACTATCAAACGAATGATCTATAGACACGTGGACAAACAAAACTTTGACCGTGGCTACCACACGAATTATAACAAAATGGCTTCCATTCAGTTGAAAAAGTTGACACTTTCTTCAAATAGACCCCTGAAAAATCCCTAATCTTCTCTCATACACCTGAAAACCCTAGTTCATCTCCTCAAGATCTCGATCTCTGGAAATACCAAATTCGCCGAAATGCACGATTTTTGCTTCACAATCCCATATGGGTTGATTCTTGTTTGTGGAGGAGTTATGGGGTATACCAGTAAAGGAAGCACGGCTTCTTTGGCTGGAGGTGCGGGCACTGGATTGTTGCTTATCCTTGCTGGTTATCTGAGTCTCAAATCTTTTGGAAAGCGGAAGAACTCGTACCTAGCCTTGATTATGGAGACTGGTAATTGTCTGTTATTACATCTATATGTATATATGTATGTATATGTAAATGTTCCTTTTGATGATTATTGATGTTCTTTTGAGTACCCATTTATGATATCACAGTATAATTAGAGAAACTTTAGATCTTGCATCTGGGTTGTGTTTATAGTTTGTCTATTACAGATCCCACATTTGATTCTTTAACCCCCTTTTGTTGTAGCATTTTTTTTTTTTAATGATTAGTTGATTTGCATTTTGTTGGAAATTCTGGTTTTAGATGGTAATCAAGATTTAGGCTTGAATTTTACATGGTTGATGGAAAGTTGATTTATGCTGTGGTACAGGAGAACTGATGATGTTTGGTGGTCTAATTTATCAGCATAGTCTGTTACAGATTTATTTGTGTTTCTGGAGTGCAGAGCTTGTTATTGTGATCAGTAACGTGAATAAGGGATCTAGGCCTGTATAATTATTGTGGCAGATCTGTTGCGCAAATAAGATTAGTTGATTATAGTAGTAAGATTTGGAACTTGTTTATGTGAATTTTTCAGGTTAATCATTCATTCATTAAGTCTTAGTTTCCGTCATTTGTGGCTCCCTAAATTTGGTCTTGATATATGTTGATTTCCTTCAGTATCGTATATATATATAATTTTGATCGGCAATGTTCATTAAACGCATTCCAGAAATGTGTTTTCTCTCCACACACCTCTTTCCCATTCCTGTTTAGCCAATTCATCTCATACCAATAACTGCAGGACAAGAAACTGATTGACCAGATAGGAAGGTATGAGGCATCACTAGCTGGAGTGATTTACTTGTACCCTCTTAACCTTGCTGTACAGAGGGATTTTCCTTCTTAATAAACCTTAATGAATGCATTTAGGAAAAAATTATAAATATATGCACATTGCTTAGATTGCCTAAAATAGTGATGGCATTGATTCTTGCTTTCTATGGTATTAGTTTTCAAATACTTACAGATTCGAGGTATATCAAAAAAAATAAAATAAATAAATAAAAAAAGAACACTTAAAGATTTGAGGCTGGCCACTGAATTGGCCTTCCTATCACAACTGAAGAGAATTTGCTTAGAAACATTAAAAGCTCTCATCTAGAGGGAAGCTCTTTGGCCACCACAATGAGAATGATTTTCGTTAATTTTTTTCCATATGAACATTTTAGATGGCATTTTCTCGTTTCAAAGTTTCTACATCGTGCATTCTTCTTAAGCTAGGATTCATCTAGATCTCAAGTTATGAAATTGGTCATTTCATAAGTCTATGCTTGTGACAGCAATAGGCAATTTAAATATAAAATTCATGACTTTTATTGCCACTTTAAATAGTAAACTTGATTCGAGGAAGTAACCTCGTTGTACTGCTAAAGTGCTGTACAGAGAAATGAACCTATTCATTGAAAAGGAAAAAAGATGCTCCATTAAGAAAATCTTGCTGCAATGTTGCAAAAGCATAGAGTTAGCCGGGGCCATCTTCTGTGGTAATTAAATATTTACCCTCATAGCCAAAAAGATTGTGTAAATTGGAAAAGGATTGACTAACATATATTCCAGTTCTTTTTGACTCATGAGGTTCCTAGCAAAAAGGAAAAGGTTAGAACCCAACATCATATGTCCCATCCCATGTGACATTCAAAGTGTACTACTCATAAGCAGCTTGCTTTGAACAAACATTCAATTTAGATTCAGGTGAAACCCAGCTTGCCATAAGTATTAACCCTCTCACATAACATCCAATTTCTTGTGTACCAATAATTAACCTGTTAAAACCTAGCAAACTTTACACGATAAGTCATCTGCAAGTCAAGCAAATAGAGAAAAACTATAGATTTCTCTTTTTCAAAGGAGAAAAAGGGCATTGAAACATTGCAAATATTCTTCTGTCAAGAACAATGGTCTGGAAATTTGAGCAGTTTTTTATATCTGTATTCGCTGTAGATTTGGTATTGGCCATTTTAAACTGTGGAAGCAAGATGTAAAATGAGAGACATATTCAAAATTGTGTGAGGCTAATGTTAGCATTGTTACAAAAAACTGCAGGCAAGAAACCTCAACATTTCATTCCTTTTGTCACTCATCATAATTCATTTCTCAATTTACACGTAACTAGATTTGTTCATTGTAATTTTCATTCATCAGTTTATAGTTAATTGTTATTTTTACTCATCTATCTGACTTCATTCAGCTTGTGCTGCCACACTTACATGGGTCATGGGACAGCGCTATACTCAGACCTCTAAGATAATGCCAGCTGGTATTGTTGCTGGGATCAGGTAACTGGAGCAGAAAACATACCCATTTTTTTGCTTTAACATTTGATATATTGGAGTTTCTATCAATTTTATGTCGCTTTGCTACCTCAGCTCCTTATGCATGAGATGGGGAACGTTGATGTGGACAATTATGAGACAGATAATAGCAAGTTCAATGATGCATGTAGATATTTGAGCTTTGGTGAAAATCTTTATCATTGATGAAATATAACTATCTATTTTGAACTTTTATAATGTAGAAATTCAAGCTAAATGAGTGCCATAGCGAGCATTTTGCAATACTCCATAGGGGAAGCTATAGCACACATTTAGCTTGAATTGCAGCAACTGAAGATTGCTTACAACGCTTTTAGATTAGCCATTAGCATTGTTATTGATGCTCAAATTTTGAGACATTCAACCACTACCTTTGTTACACACATCGATGCTCCAACCTTTCAGAGGATTCAGGGCATATATTTATGTAGTTCTTCAAGTAGTAAAAACACACTCAAATCTTATTTATTGTTCAGATGTTCTCTTGTAAATCCGTGTAGTTTTGCTGCAAACTGATATCTCATCTGGAACCATCAACTGTATGTATCTTAAAATATGAATTATTATTTTGTTCTGGGGTTATAGGGTTTGAGGAAGAACTACTAGGGAGAAGGTATTTGGTGCTGAAATGGGTTATGTCGATCTATGTTTATTCAGCTGTCTATCATTGCTTCTTCTTCCGGGGAAGAAACTCTACACCCATTTGTTTAAAAGTTATGGGTTGATAAGCTAATAGAAGCATTATTCCACATGGATACGACAAGCTGCAATTTTTGGGTAGTGCATTCAACTCAGAAATTTCAGTAAATTTACAATTCATGTGATGTTGTACTAGCATGATTTCTTGGTTTCTTTGACGCTGATGATGTGTTTGATCATACCATGCTTATATCTTTGTTTGTTAGTTAACCTGTATCAAGTTTATGGTTGGATTCTCCTCAACTCAACACACATTTAACAGAGTTTTTGAATCACTTTGTGTTTCATTTTTCTTGCAGTGCTCTCATGACTGGATTTTATCTTTACAAGATCGCTACAGGCGGTAACCATTTCCCTCCTAAGACCGAGTGATGGTGATTTTTTTTTTCCTTGTACTAATTTCACATTGTATGTACCGGGATTACTGAAAATTCAATGCTTCTGTTGGGACAGTTTAGGTTATCAGTTAAAAAGAGTGTTGTTGGTGGATACAAATCTAGAAGACCTAAAACATATATTTTGTCATAATATTTATCAAATATATATATATATATATTGTCGCAATGGACCACTCTTTTGCCTTGTAGTCTGTTACTTCGTCGTCATGGACATAATGATTTGTTTATTTAGGCAAATGCTAATCATTACTGAGAGGGTTGACTCGTGTAAAAGTAGCTTTCTTTCCTATCTCAATTGAATTTCCTGAAATTATTCTTGAAATTTCTTGAATTTCCAGGAGTGTTCTTGATGATGTTTGTGATAAAAAACACTACAACATGAATCGAACACATTAGAATGCCAAAATATCCATTGAAGTTGTAATAATTGATTGCGTTCAATGTGGAGATAAAGTTTCTGATTAAATGCCAGTATAAGATGGAAAGAAGATGAGAATCAGATGGTGATGAATATATTACCTGTTCATACTAGGCAGACCATTTCTTGGATACCCTTGTACCCAATTCATGGAATGTGTACAAACATTTGTATCTCAATTTTTATAATAATAAAAATAATAACAAAACAAACACTCGCACACTGCCTAAGGTTCATAATTATCCGGGTAAGATGGGTGTTCATTTGTTATACTTGATCTGATCTGAGATTTGCCGTCCCTTTAATTTCTTCTGGTCTGGCTTTTCAACCAATTAAGATTTTTCTATGATCATGGCATCTTCATTTATTTTGCATCATACAATACAAGGTGTATATACACGATTTAATGATAAAACAACTGGGTGCAATACGAAACATTGGTATAACAACTCCTAAACAGGACAAACAAATCAAATGACTTTCAACAACCCTCGGGCCTGTAGAATTTTGGAGGCAGAGATGGGCACCTTTCATTCATATTGGGGTACAGTTCCATGGTATTGTATTCCGGTGGCTCCATGCGTTACTTCCCTTTACCATTTAGGCAGGCAGCTTGAATTGTTCTCGATGAACTTGAGAGTTGTTGGCTTTTTGGCTTTTCAAAGGGTATTTTCGTGAATGTGAGCATGCCAGCAAGGATCAATTAGTCCTTACAGAAATTGTGATTGCCAACCAATTATCAGACGATTGTGTTTTGGTTCTTTTCAGCCTCAATGAAGAGGACTTTTACTGGTGGCTTGACTTAGGAGAAATTAAGAGAAATAACAGTAATATGAAGAACAATTGAAGTATTTCATAAAAAATAACACTTACAATGGCTGGTTTCTTCTACCTTTGAAGTGATCTTCAAGCTTGGTTCTGCCCCCAGGTTCTTCAATTCAATATCTCTG